CCTCTACACTGTTAAACAAAGTTAAAAGGTAGGTGTTACCAAGCGCGGATCAAGGGAGGGCCGAGCCCCCCAGCCCCCCCCCCCCAAAAAAGGAGAGAGCGAGAAGGAAAAGAAGGGAAAGGGAAAGAGAGAAAGGGAAAAAAGAAGAGGAAGAAGAAAAGAAAAGAGGGAAGAAGGAGATCGGGGGGGGGGGGACTTGCCTTCCAGGCTGTTGCCCCCCCCCCCCCCCAAATCCAAAAATAAAAGAGAAGGAAGGAAAGGGAAAGAAAAAAGGAAAAGAGGAGATAAAGGGAAGGAAAAAAGAGGAAGAAGAAAAGAAAAGAAGAGGGATATCAGTTGCAATTTTCCCGCCAACAAGTTGTGGATAGGGGGGAAGGCCCTTGCCCCCCACCCCCCCCCCCACCCCGTCCCTGCTAAAAAAAGAGAAAAGGAATGAAAAGGAAAAGAGGAGAGCTAAAAGGGAACAAAAAAGAGGAAGAAGAAAAGAAAAGGGAGAAAAGAAGGGGAGATCAGTTGCGGTTAATCCCGCCAACAATGTGTGGAGCGGGTGGGGGTCAAAATGACCTTGCCCCCCACCCCCAGCAAATCTAAAAGAGAGAGAGGGAAGGAAGGGAAGGGAAAGGGAAAGAGGAGAGAAAGAAAAAGAAGAAAAAAAAAAATGAAGAAAGGTAAGGGATATCAGTTGCAATTTCAACAAGGTGTAGATCGGGGGGGGGGGGGGGGGGGTTGGGGAAACAAAATTCAAACGTGGTTTATTTCTAATTCCATAACGGTTGTTTACAAATAATGGTGAAATGACATCCTTTACGTTCATGTCGGAAATTCAATTTACAACAGTAGTTGTATGCCTATTTTCTACACTCCCCCTATATCGGGCACATGTAGCGGGAGGCGGGCACATCTACATGGAGGTGGTTATTTGACAACGTAAAACATGTAGAATCCAAAGAAATCAATGAAAAGAAGATAAATTGATATTTGTGAAACTCAATTGTATCTTAGGAAGCTTTATTATATCCATGACACGACGGAAATTCAATATACAACACTAGTTGTATGCCTCACTTCATTTCCCCTATCTCGGGCACAATGTAGAGGAAGGCGGGCACATCTACAGGGAGGTGGTTGTTTGACAACGTAAAACACGTAGAATCCAAAGAAAATCCATGAAAAGAAGATAAATTGATATTTGTGAGACTCAATTGTATCTTAGGAAGCTTTATTATATCCATGACACGACGGAAATTCAATATAGGCTACAACACTAAGTTGTACATATCCCCTATCTCGGGCACATGTAGCGGGAGGCGGGCACATCTACAGGGAGGTGGTTATTTGACAACGTAAAACACGTAGAATCCAAAGAAAATCCATGAAAAGAAGATAAATTGATATTTATGAAACTCATTTGTATCTTATGAAGCTTTATTATATTCATGACATGTCGGAAATTCAATATAGGCTACAACACTAAGTTGTATGCCTTACTACATATCCCCTATCTCTGGCACAAAGGCGGGCACATCTACAGGGAGGTGGTTGTTTGACAACGTAAAACACGTAGAATCCAAAGAAAATCCATGAAAAGAAGATAAATTGATATTTGTGAGACTCAATTGTATCTTAGGAAGCTTTATTATATCCATGACACGACGGAAATTCAATATAGGTTACAACACTAAGTTGTACATATCCCCTATCTCGGGCACATGTAGCGGGAGGCGGGCACATCTACAGGGAGGTGGTTATTTGACAACGTAAAACACGTAGAATCCAAAGAAAATCCATGAAAAGAAGATAAATTGATATTTATGAAACTCATTTGTATCTTATGAAGCTTTATTATATTCATGACATGTCGGAAATTCAATATAGGCTACAACACTAAGTTGTATGCCTTACTACATATCCCCTATCTCTGGCACAAAGGCGGGCACATCTACAGGGAGGTGGTTGTTTGACAACGTAAAACACGTAGAATCCAAAGAAAATCCATGAAAAGAAGATAAATTAATATTTATGAAACTCATTTGTATCTTAGGAGCTTTATTATATTCATGACATGTCGGAAATTCAATATACAACACTGGTTGTATGCCTCAATACATTTCCCCTATCTCGCGGGCACATGTAGCAGGAGGCGGGCACATCTACAGGGAGGTGGTTGTTTGACAACGTAAAACACGTAGAATCCAAAGAAAATCCATGAAAAGAAGATAAATTGATATTTGTGAAACTCAATTGTATCTTAGGAAGCTTTATTATATCCATGACATGACGGAAATTCAATATACAACACTAGTTGTATGCCTCACTACATTTCCCCTATCTCGGGCACATTTAGCGGGAGGCGGGCACATCTACAGGGAGGTGCATGTTTTGATAACTTAAAACACGTAAAATCCAACGAAAATCAATGAAAAGAAGATAAATTGATATTTATGAAACCCATTTGTATCTTAGGAAGCTTTATTATATTCATGACATGTCGGAAATTCAGTATACAGCACTAAGTTGTATGCCTTACTACGTACAGTATCCCCTATCTCGGGCACATGTAGCAGGAGGCGGGCACATCTACAGGGAGGTGGTTGTTTGACGACGTAAAACACGTAGAATCCAAAGAAAATCCATGAAAAGAAGATAAATTGATATATGTGAAACTCATAATTATATAAGGGAGCTTTAATGTTACATCCGTTAACTCTCGGATATTGAATATAGAATACTATTTTATTACACAACTCGATCCCTATCTCGATCGGGCACAAGTCATGTAGAGGTAGGCGGGCACATCTACAGGGAGGTGGTTTAGCCGACGACAGAGTTGGTCACGCGTTTTATGGAGTTAAAAAACGACCCAAAGAATCGCCATTTTTGTATAAACTATATCAAAAATGTATAAAAATCCACACTAAATAAATTTACTTAACACTCAAACACTTCTACCTCATAATCACGGACAATACAACTGTATAATGGTAAGATTTTGCCCTGATTTGGCTGAACCACTGTGTTGCACGTATACCCTTCATTGTACAGTCATGACCCCAATTCTGCACGTACGTACGTACGATCGTACGCGCGCAGTCAAGAACATCAATATTCATGAATTGACACGACGTCACTGATATGCATATTCATTGACCTCCTTGTAGATGTGCCCGATTAGAGGCTACCCTCGCGATTGATGAAGGGAGAAGCTCCACGGAGCCGCGCCCCGCTCCGCGCTCCTGTAGACCGGGCGTGAAGGCCCAAGCCTGCGCCAGGCGACTCCAAGTCTTATCTATTGCAAGAATCCAACCCAGAAGCAGTGACCTGGAATTACAGGCCAACGCCTTGTTCCTGTTTTTTGCACATATGATACATATTTTCACACACACGGTGAGCTTGTTAGCTCACCCGGTGTGATGGGGATGTGCGCATCTTCGGGTATACTTGTTGTAGTCATCCATGCTGTGGTCGATGCATCGTTGGGTAGTTGTTCTCTGAGAGTATTTTGTAAATAGTTTTATATATTCCATATTTGTTGTTGTATTCATGAATAAGTTATCTTTGTCACATCATATGAGGGGGCCTTAACTTAACAAGCTGTGCTTCAACCAAGGTCTCCATGTCTTCCTTTATTCTACATATTGTACTGTTATGATTATACTCTATTAATTTGTCACATGTGTTTTCTGAAAGACAAATAAACTTGATACTTGATACTTGATACTTGATACTTGATGATGATGATGATGATGATGATGATGATGATGATGATGATGATGATGATGATGATGATGATGATGAATCATGAATATGAGGATGATGATGATGATCAGGATGATGACAATTAATGTCAATGATTCAATTAACCTTGCAAACTACCTTCACTTATTTCGGGCTTCAGACTCTATAGAATTTGCTGCAGGACTCTGCTTCTAACTTCTAAGTTCTAGTTTTCTTAGATAATGCAAAATTCTTTGATATCGGTCAATAATTTAACTAAAATTGTGGAAATTTGTGTAACCAGACTCTAGAGTGTAACTGGTAGATTTGAGAGTTTCAGCCTTTGCTTACCTTACATGTGTTTCTGATGATAATTAGCTAACTATACTGCCGATTACATTACAAAAACTTTGACCTCTGAAAAGTCTGATGAGAGTTTGCCTTGTTGTTCTGCTGGAAATGCAAATACATGTGATGTACTGGTACCTATGTGGAAATGGCTTATTTTGCATTGCTAATTTAATGCCGACATTATGACAATAATGATTAGTGTAGTGTACCCAGCTACAGTGTAGCTACATGTAGGCGTATGCGCACACAGGGAGTCTGCTGGATCAAGCGACACTTTCCGCACACACTTTTTTTCACTAACTGCTATTGTTTGCGGAGGCGCGATAGCTCAGTCGATAGAACAGTGGTCTCGTAATCCGGTGACCCGGGTTCGAAACCAAGGCGATGCGCAAGTGCCCTTTGGTAAGGCATTAATCCTCATTACCAGGTCCCTCGGAGAGGACCTAAAGCCGTCTGCCATCTGGTTGCTTACTAACAAGCATTTATGCTTTCTTAGCAGTGAGGTAAAATAACCACCACCACAATTTAGGTTTAAATAAAAGTATCAAATCAAACTTGTTTTAATAAAAGTATCAAATCAAACTTGATTTGATTTGGAAATTTATATTTTTGGCACTTTTTTAATCAATACATCGCTTGCTATATATACAGATCTAGCACTTGACCATGATTTGACTCACTCTTGCCAAGGCCCCCCCCCCCCTATTGAACTTCTTTCTAATTTCTAGTTATAATTCCCATTAGACCATTCAAAATGAGCAACACTAGGTACACGAACAATGTATTTGGCTTTTAAGTTTTAGGTTGTCCTAACATGAAAATTAAGTATTTCAAGTCAACCAATGAGTACATGTTCAGTAGAGATCAGTTTAATCATAAATTTTCCAGTTTAAAACATTTAATCAACAAACACATTTTGGTCCCATTTTCTATAGGATTACAATTTTGCAACATGGCTCTTTTGTCAGAGGGATATGGTGATGATGACATCAAAGAATTGAGGTAAGTGAATCATATTCACATATTAGTTAGGCCTACTGTAAGAAACGATATCTTTATATATATGCACAAATGATATAAATTTGAATGTTAAATGATGAGAATGACAGAAATTAATCTTAAGTGCTAAATATCTACCAGCAAATGTTTGAGGTATTGGACCAGACCCTAAAACTCCTACACATCTGAAATTTCTGGTACTGAGTACTATCCAGACAACAGTCATTTTCAAAACAGATGATATAAAGTGTATGTTTCTTTTATATATTTCAGACTGAATCTTTCTGAAGCAGCAGCTAATCTTGATCCTTCCAAACTCAGAGCTGCCTTGGCTCATATCGTGTCACAGATGAGTCTGGGGAATTCCCTCTCAGCATTATTTCCAGAACTAGTGAAGGTAATATGACCATCAGTTTCAAAGCCATTGATAAGTAGTTGCCCAAAATTTTGGCAACATCACTTACAATGATTATATTCTGCATCCGTTTGAAAATATATCACTGAAACTGCAGTTGATCCATATAGAGTTGTTGATTTTTTCATTTAAAAAGTGGAGGGGAAAGAAATGAAGATAAAATCTCTCAGAAAATATATAAATTTGAAAATGAATTTCATAATTATGTTTTTTTGCATCATTTCATGCACAAGCAGGTTTTTTTTATAATATTATGTGCCAATGATTTCTGGGTACAGTGACAATTAGTTTGTTGAGCTAAGAGTTTGTTTACTTATAATTTTTTATATGCATATTTTGTATCTCTAGATTTGTGCTACCAATGACCTGCCAAGCAAGAAGCTTGTTTACATGTATATGGCTGGCTGTGCCTGCGAGCAACCTACCCTGACCCTACTAGCAATCAACTGTCTTCTCAAAGACTGTCAGGATTCAAACCCTATGGTCAGAGGCATGGCTCTCAGGACTCTATGCTCTCTCAGGTTAGTACTTTGAATAGAATGGAAGTGATTTTAAAAACATTACTGACATAACCTACATGGGTCAAGAAAGAATGGGGAAACAATAGATGAAACAAAACAACTTGTAACTATGTAAGTCACATCTATTTCATAGTTTTGGTGTAAAGTGCACTCTTAAACCGTTAAGTTTGCTTCTTGTTATCCTTCATTATCTCTCTTTGTTCCCCATCAATGCTGTGGATGATGATCACTGGATCAGTACTGAGTTTCGGCTTCATCCACACTTCAAGATTTGTTTATCTCTGTTACAACTTTTTGTCAGGTCTTATATTTTGCAGATTATTAGGGGCTTGAATATGCTTTTGCTGTCTTATCAGACTTATTTATTTGTTATCACCAAACTGATATCTCAATACGACTCATCACTGGTTATATTTTCTTTCTTTATGTTTGCAAATACCATTAGCTTTTGTTATTTATACTTTGGTGAAAAATTGAAGGCATTGTTTTTGATATATAGAATATCCTTATTTTATAGAATATCCTTATTTTATAGAATATCCTTATTTTAAACCCAAACCATCCAAATCTTGTTCAATAGGTTACCACTTTTAATGGAGTATATAGAGCTCCCTCTCTTGGCAGGGTTGAAAGACAAAAGTGCCTACGTGCGACGGATTGCTGTGCTTGGTTGTCTCAAAGCTTGTAAGCTAGACTCCTCCTTCATTAAAGGTATGATAGCAAAATCTGTGAATAACAATCGTGTTCTCCTTACAGTATTATCTCTCAAATGAAAATAGTCAGAATAATGCGAACCATTATCATCAGCATGAACCAATCGTAATCCCACAAAGCTCATGATGGAATTGCAAATAAATGCTATATACACTCTTTAACTTTGAAAAACCATTCCTCTCTCAATATTTTTTTTCTTGATTACTTTAATATTTTAAAACTTAATTCATAAAGTAAGATACTTTCTCACATTCCACAAGTACAATTTTATACCCTCCTGCAAAAACATCTGTGACTATTTGTGACTGGAACATCTTGTGCATATCAAGTTATCCTGCTCCAGTTAGTCTAAAGAAAGCAAGATGTATACATTAATTCAAACAAATTTTGACTTGATGAGTAGTTGAGTGGTACATGTATATACATGGAGATCTTTGATATGTAAAATATCTGAGTTTAGGTTCAAACATTTCGGAATCATAGAGTAAAACAAAATGATGAACATTTAGATGACATAGATGTAGACAGGTGACAGAGTACAGAAGATGGTGTTGTTACAGGCTACCTCACATTAAGATTGAATTCACATATATTACACAGTTATCTTTGGTCCTATCCATTGACTTCCAGACAGGAATATCATAGACCAGCTGTGTGAGCTAATCGCTGATCGAGATAACACTGTCATGATCAATGTTCTATGTGTGCTTCATGAACTTCAGGGAGGTCTTTTAGTCACTCCGAACATTGCACATGCACTCCTCAACAGGTATAGTTTTCTTTTTGTTAGTCCTCTTTATTTTACCATTTTCTTGGGGGAGGGCTTGTCTCCTAATGTCTTTACTTTATTATTTTATTTAAATTTCTACTTTTTATTTAAGGATTGTTCAGGAAGCAAGTTCAGCAATTTCTGTGTTTATACAAGTGGTATAGAAAAATGTCATGATGTTTTTATGTTATAAAATTACTAAAATTACAGAACAACTGCAAGCCTACTTTCCAAAAAATGTATAATGTTGTTTTTATTGGATTAAGTATTAATAAATAAAAATATTCCGCTTTTATATAGTGCTTAATAAAATGTCTCTAAGCGCTTAGCAGATATATACTACTATTACCTATTAAAGAGGAATATATTTTTGTTCATGTTTTCTGTTTTAATACTTTAGCAAAACCTTGTTTAATTGCACATAGGTAGTTCAAGGCCCTGTAGTTGAAAGTTTAGATTTCACCCACCTAATTTCTTTATGCAGAGTAAGCTCGCTATCTGAATGGGGCCAAATCAAGGCGCTGCAGGTCCTGTTGACGTACAAGCCAGCCAATGAGGAAGAAGTATTTGACATATTGGTAACTAGATCATTAATAATACATTCAGAACTATTGCTACATGATTAAATTGTGTGGAATGTTTAACAGCTAAATTATTACACTTTAATACAGATATGATCCACTGAATTCTAAATTTTATGTGCATACATGGTACCAGGCATTTCGTAAAAACTCAGGATTTTATTTCCTTTGGTTTTCAAGTCTACAGTAGCAGTGTCTCCAGTGTTTTTAAGGTGAGTTGTTATTGATCTTAGAATAGGTCATTTATTAATTACAACTATTCAAGAAAATGAAATGATACATGGTCATGCCCAATCATTTAAGGTTATGTGGTTTAAACATGAATCTTATGACTTATCTGACATCTACACTACAGAACTTGGTGGATGGTTGTTTACGTCATCCCAACAGTGGAGTAAGCCTGGGAGCCGTTCACTTCATGCTTCTTATCACCAAGGACTTACCTCATGTCAATCAAGATGTCATTGGCAGACTCAAAGGTACGAGTCATGCTTTTATCAGAACGGGTCTGAGTTTGTAATTCTACGTTAATATTGGATAATATGATGAGGGGTTTAAGAATTTAGGTCAAATGTGATGTCCAAATCGTTATCTAGAGAAAGTGGGGGAGGGAGGGGGTAGGGGAGCATGGCTCAGTTTCAAGATCACCAGAGGCTATATTTTCTGTTGTGAATCAAATAACTAGCAGTCAGTGTGAACCACTGAAAAAAAGGGAAAAAATCATGCCAATTTTCAAGAATAAGAGTAAATTTTTGTTTGTACTGCATTACTTAAATTTATATAACTTATAAAGTCGTAGATATTATCACAACTATAAGAGTAGTTTTAATCTTATCCAATTATCATTGCCTCCTCCATATAATCTTGCTTCTAGTGTCCACCAGACTAACTTTTCAGCTTGCATTTTTTTAAAGTTACCTTAAATGATGTGTCTTTGAACCTTAAAGGTACCTTGTTACCCTATTTCATCTTGTTGTTTTATATTCCAGGAATCTTATTGAGTCACCTTGGCAGTGATCAGCCAGCCTTCGTGTATGCTTCTCTTTGTCATCTCCAGTGGCTTCTGGACAAGCTACCTCAAGGAATCAGTAAATATTACAAGAAGTTCTATTGCAAGTAAGTCAACAGAACTGTGCTCTCTCTCTGATTGGTGTAAACATTTGTACTCACCTGACTGGATGAACCAAAATGTGATTCAGGGCATGCAATGTCAAATTACACTTCTGTGGTTGATGCAGCTATAAGTTTTTATAAAAAACCAACTGATATTCCTGTGTTAAAGCATAGTTCTAAAATATTTGGCTATGACAAGTTTAATGACTGTTTTTACCTAGTCAGACAAGCTTTGTATGATATTCCTTTAGCTCTTGTCCAGGGTAGTTAAATCCAAAAGGAGGATATAATCATAACAGCATGATATCTCAGATATCTTCCATGTTTTGTCCTCATAAATTCTATGTCCACAGTCTACAGACCTTACTGTAATCATATAATAGTTCAAGTGGTTCCCTTCTTCATAAAGGAACAGCTTTTAATTTTACATGGTGTACCCAAAATCATTTTTAGGAATAAATCAATGATTTTAGTCTTGATAAAACCTGATGCATGTTGTGTAGAAGTACATTTCATACATATAATTCAGGCTGGTGTGATTATCTGGAGCAGCAACATTATTCTAGCACATTTTGAAGGAAAGGTTAATATCCCAATAAAATATGTTATAGGAGTATGTAAGTCAAGGTGATTATTACTAAATCCATCATTTTGTTCATGCAGGTACAATGAGCCTGTCTATCTAAGATGCAAGAGGATTGATCTCCTAGTACAACTCATCACAGAGGCTAATCTCAATGACATTGTTGGAGAGTTGAGGTAAATCACACATTTTGCTTGATTATAAGTTTTAAATCATTGTCCAGCAGGATAATTTGAATGTAAATAGTTGATCATGGTAGTAAAGGGTGAATCCTGATTTTTTTTTTTCTTCTTCACTTGTTTAAAATGAGAAAAGAGATGTAGAATGAATATTCTATCTTTTGAAGCTTTTTACTTCTTAGCATGTCCTTTTGCTTGTTCCCCCCCCCCCCCCATAAACATCAATGATTCTTTTCTTTTTTTATTATATTTCTCTTCACATCGTTTTACTAATTAATTTCTGTTCTCCTTTGTTTTTGTTTTCTCTCTCTCCCTATCTCCAATATTTGTCCTTTCCTTGTTCGCTTTTTCTCTCGTCCAGTCCAGTACCCCTATTTATATTTGATTATCTCTTCTCAATTATGAGTGCCTAATATTCACACCGGGTTGATATATTTACGTGTACTGAAACAAACCCCTTGCTCCCTTAGTGCTTACTGCATTGATGTATCCACCAAGTTTGGACAGCATGCTGTACGAGCCCTGGGTGCTGTATCTCAACTCAATCCAGCCTACACAGGGACGTGTATGGATGCTTTACTGCGTCTTCTTCAGCTTGGTATCGACCGAGTTTCATCAGCTGTTTTCATAGAGATGCAAGGTAAATGCTTCCTTATTAGCAAGTTCTTTATCCATTAGTCACCTTTCTTTAATGCACATGACATTCCTAGACAAAGATGTGAAGTAATTTTGTTTGAGTGAGAGTGGACATATTTTGGTCAGAAAAAACAGGTAATCCAAATAAATTTCAACTGATATCAAACCTTAAGGCCGGAATTCACAAAGGAGGTTTGTTGACAAACCTAGGTTTATGTACGTTATGTGACACATTTTGACGCGTTTTTTTACAAACCTGGTTTCTAAACCCGCGTCAAAACGCGTCACAAGACGCACGAAAACCTAGGTTTGTCGACAAACCTCCTTTGTGAATTTGGGCCAGTGAGTAGAAAGTGTATTAAAATCGATAGTATATTTGAAGTGGTTTAATTTACAATCATTCTTCTGCAAATAAAGTGGCAAAGTGAAATTGTAAGATTTAGTTTTGTGTTATCTTTCCTTTAAATAGAGGGCTAACTACATGTTTAAGTATATTTCTAATATTTCTGTATTTCTTTTTTTTTCCAGAATTGTTATCCTTGGAGGGAAGGTACCAGGATTATGTCAGCCAAGTATTAGACTTGATCCCAGGCTGTTGGTCAAATATAGAACACGAGGATGGCAGATGTGCTATGATATGGCTAGTTGGACACCATGGACAAGTAAGTCTATATTCAGAGGGTATGAGACTACATGAAATATGAACCTGCATGTGATTGTAGAGAAACATACATGAAATTCTGATCAAAGTAGACCAGTTATGACATCCAAAATGATGTAGCTAGGGGTTTATGATGAGCACATATTTTAGTGGAAAGAGTGATGACTTATGTGCTTGCGTTCACTAAGTATCCACTATATTTCATATGAAATTGAAACGGTTATCGGATCTGTAAGTTTATCCTGATTTAGGACCTGAACTCCCATATGAATAATAATGTTAAAAGCACAGGGATAATATGAGCTTTCCTGTTTGGAAAAGTAAATAAAAACTTTAGCCTGGAATTGTAGTAACATCATACATATATTTCACCAATAGCCATTTTTGAACTTGTTGAGGGTAGGTGTTAAATCAATTATACTTTCCCAGAATGCAAGAGGCAACTCAATAATGAAATATTCTATCAACTGAACTACTTTCTTCTGTTATTTTGATGTTTTTGTTTCCTTTAGAAACTTCAAGACGCTCCCTACCTCCTTGAGAGTGCAATTGACAATATAATGGAGGAGTCTAGTCATGAGGTCAAAGGTCACCTACTGGGTGCAATCACCAAGCTATTCTTTACCCGTCCTGCGGAATGCCAAGACTCACTTGCCACCATGCTACAACATTGCATAGGTAGGTGTAACAAGTTTTCAGCATGGTCATAATGTCTACAAACTGTAATTCTATTTTACTCTCTGCATGAGTGAAGTTTTTCCTACAACTAAATAAAATGTACATTTCCTAATATTGTTTAATGAAATCTGTGATATTCTGTCTGTTTGTTTGGGTTGCTCTTTACATCTGGGTAAAAGGGTTTCTAGATCCATACATTGAAATCTACTGGAGTTGCCATGTTTGTAATGATGATACGTAAAGGATCTCTCAGTTTTGACATCCTTAAATGCTGCAAAGAGAGTTTGAAAGAGCCAGGTCAACGTCTTTTGTTTTTGTTTGTTTTTTTTGTTGTCTTTTTTTTCCAATAGAGAGAATACTAGGTGCATTTTGTTTTGAAATAATTTTGTCACTTCTTGGGCTTCATTATACATTTCATTAAAAATACATTTTTACATAAAAATGATGTGAGCATAGATGTACCCCTTGGTGACCATTGTACATAAATGTGAACGGTAAAGGTGAACAACTGTAGAAGTGCTAGCATGCCGGATATCTATTATTTGCCACTGAAGTGTGGATTAGCTAAAAAAAAAAAAAATTATCGGTACTCTTTTTATGCCTCCGTTACGAAGTAGCCGGAGGCATTATGTTTTCGGGTTGTCCGTCCGTCCGTACGTCCGTACGTACGTACGTACGTACGTCTGTACGTACGTACGTCCCGTTCTCGTGATCGCGTTATCTGAAGAACTGGTTGATGGATTCCTGCCAAACTTTGGTCATGTACGTATCTTGTAGAGCCGATGAACTGATTAGATTTTGGGGTTACGAGGTCAAAGGTCAAAGGTCACAGGGCTCATTATGTATGCAAAACAAGCTCGTGATCGCGTTATCTGAAGAACTGGTTGATGGATTCCTGCCAAACTTTGGTCATGTATGTATCTTGTAGAGCTGATGAACTGATTAGATTTTGGGGTCACGAGGTCAAAGGTCGAAGGTCACAGGGCTCATTATGTATGCAAAACGAGCTCGTGATCGCGTTATCTGAAGAACTGGTTGATGGATTCCTGCCAAACTTTGGTCATGTATGTATCTTGTAGAGCCGATGAACTGATTAGATTTTGGGGTCACGAGGTCAAAGGTCAAAGGTCACAGGGCTCATTATGTATGCAAAACGAGCTCGTGATCGCGTTATCTGAAGAACCGATTGATGGATTGCTGCCAAACTTAGGTCATGTATGTTACTTGCAAAGCCGAAAAACTGATTAGATTTTGAGGTCACGAGGTCAAAGATCAAAGGCCACAGGGCTCATTATGTATGCAAAACGAGCTTGTGATCGCGTTATCTGAAGAACCGATTGATGGATTGCTGCCAAACTTAGGTCATGTATGTTACTTGCAGAGCCGATGAACTGATTAGATGTAGGGGTCACAAGGTCAAAGGTCAAAGGCCACAGGGCACATTATGTATGCAAAAACAGCTCGTGATCGCGTTATCTCAAGAACCGATTGATGGATTCCTGCCAACTTAGGTCATGTATGTTTCTTGCAGAGCCAATGAACTGAGTAGATTCTTGGTTCATAAGGTCAAAGGTCATGGGCTCATTATGTATGCAAAAATAGCTTGTAATCACAATATTCTGAGAACCTGTTAATGGATTACAATTGAACTTGAATTCGAAAATTTCTTCTGTTTTGGTTTGTAAAATTGCTCTATGACGGAGGCATCATTTTCGACTGCGCGCAGTCGAAGTTCCATCTAGTTTTATTTTTTATTTACAGAAACACAGAAGGATGTATTTCTTCAGGAAAGGGCCATGCTGTATTACCAGTTACTACACACTGATGTCAAAAAGGTGAATTGTCTAATATGGAGATAAACAAAACTTAACAAACTATTATGGCATGAAAATGCACAATTTAAGTATGGGAAAAATCTATTAGGCCAGATTTATGTTTCTTCAGAATGTGACGTACTAAAGCATACATCAAACAGTATTCAGCCAGACCACTTTCGATTTTTGAGTTATGAAAAACACGAAAACACAGAGTTTACAAGGAGTATGAAAAATTTAGTTGTTAAATAGTGTATATTTCATTATACAACTGCCATTATTGTCAGAGATAATTCAATCATTTTCAGTTGGTATGTTGTTATACATGTACATGATATAAATGCTGAAAATATTGTAATTTGCTTATTGTATACATCCTAGCATGTCTGTGCATTGTTGTTTTATTCAGGCGAAGATGGTAATCTGTTCATCTCAGAGGTTAAGACCGCCATCAAGATCTTCATCTAGGCAACCCTCATCAAACGATGTCTTCAATAGCTTCCGACTGTTACTAGGTAAGAACTCAACTTACAGAGATTTGTATTTCATTATTTTAGGTAGGTAAAACAACATATCAGTTTCATTAACATACCCATCACAGGGTGAAACCAGTATTCGGTACACCCTTTCTTGAAGCCCCCCCCCCCCCCCCCCCCCCCAAAAAAAAAAAAAAAAAAAAAAAAATAATATATATATATATATATATATATATATATATCAATATATCTTGGGTCTAGATCACTAAGGGCTATGCCAATATAATTCCTGGATATGCCACTGAGCATTGTCTGCTCTAAGAGAGAGAGTAATAACCACAAATAACATAGCCTACAACAAAATTCTTATTCATTTTATCATTACTCATTTGTAAGGTACTTTGTAGAGTTTGAAATCGTCCTAGGAGTATCTTTTATCTTCATGTTTTCAGGATCGGATAACTCTAGCGATGGAATGAACCAACCACCACCCTCCTCATCATCGAAAGGGTATTCAGTCCAGACCCCCTCCACCACTCTGCCTGACCCTGGCCCAAGTCTGGCTCCAGAGGGCATGCTTGTTGACCTCAGCTTGGATGATACCAAGGTACAGGATGCTGGAAACCCTGACAAAGCTCCAGACACTACCCATGGTCTAGGAGACACAGACATACATCTTCTTCCAGGGCAAGGAAAGAGCAGTAGCAACGATGATGTTAAGGGGAAAATTGCACCTCGGTCTGGGTCTAGGAAGAAGGAAAGTTTGACATTGCTTCAAGATGGAAATGACTTACGGGATGGTGTAAGTGCTACGGTTAATGAAGATGAAGAAGCTTCAGAAGAAAGGAAGGATCCTATACCAGTTCAAAGACATATAGGTGCTTCTGATGTAGCTTCTTCAGCGTCCAAGGACTTCAAGCACAATCAGTCATCCTCCTCTCCACCTAAGAACCGTGGGTCTTCTGAAGATGCAGTAGGCACCTTGGATCATCCAGGTTCAAATGATGTTGAAAATCGTGAGAAGAAAGAGAAGAGTTTGGGCATCAAAACTGCAAGCCTTCAGGAGGGAGAGATGAAGAGCGGTGTAACGTTTGAGCCCTGTACACTCTCACCACAGGAGTTTGAAGACAGATGGATGGCATGGACAAATAGGTATTAATCAGTATTTTTATCCATATGTGCAGTCATAATTGGTAAAAGATTCAAGGAAGGCTCAGCCCTTGCATTTTGATTCCCAATGCTCATCAATGTGACTGCAAATTTGTAACAAAAATACTATCAATGTTCTGATTATATACTGAGAAAATAATATATTTCTAGTATTCTGATTCCCATAAGTTTTGCATATGTGCAATGTGAACTTTCATGTATTCTACAAAATAAGACAGTTATCATGAAAGTAACTTAAATTTGTCAGTATGAGTGCATCCAATGCATATTTACAAGATATGATTCCCTGTACTATGGAATCAATAAACCACAAGTAACTTGGTCATTATTTTCTGCGAGTAAAGTTATAACCCCAGTCTAGAATATGAGACCAGATATGACCCCTACTGGTAGCAATTTAATGAGGCAGAATCAAACGGATCTAGAAAATTAATGTAGAAAATATGACTTCATGTCTTCCTTGAGAAAATGTTATACTTGTGTTCACACAATGTTTTTGATCTTGTCGTTTCCTAATCAGTGAAACGTTGGAAGTGGCTGAGAAGAGGCCTTCAATTTTGCTTGAGAGATTCGATGATATTGGATTCCACACCATGGCTTCTACACCTACAGATTCAGAGCCTTGGAGAGCATTTCTTTATGCACAAGTAAGTTTCCCAATATGTGTTATTATATCATTATCCCATCATCAGCATCATCACCGTAATCTTCATCGTCATCATCTTTATCCTCCTCCTTCTCTTCCTCTTCCTCCTCTTTCTCCTCCTTCTCTTCCTTCTCTTCCTCCTCTTCATTCTCCTCTTTCTCTTTCTCCTTCTCCTCATCACCATCATTCTCAACATCATAATCAACATGAACATCCTCCTCCTCCTGTTCCTCCGCCTCCTCCTACTCCTCCTCCTCCTCCTCCTCCTCCTCCTCCTCCTCCTACTCCTCCTCCTCCTCCTCCTCCTCCTCCTCCTCCTCCTCCTCCTTCTTCTCCTCATCACCATCATTCTCAACATCATAATCAACATGAACATCCTCCTCCTCCTGTTCCTCCTCCTCCTCCTCCTACTCCTCCTCCTCCTCCTCCTCCTCCTCCTCCTCCTCCTCCTCCTTCTCCTTCTTCTCCTCATCACCATCATTCTCAACATCATAATCAACATGAACATCCTCCTCCTCCTGTTCCTCCTCCTCCTCCTACTCCTCCTCCTCCTCCTCCTCCTCCTCCTCCTCCTCCTCCTCCTCCTCCTCCTCCTTCTTCTCCTCATCACCATCATTCTCAACATCATAATCAACATGAACATCCTCCTCCTCCTGTTCCTCCGCCTCCTCCTACTCCTCCTCCTCCTCCTTCTTCTCCTCATCACCATCATTCTCAACATCATAATCAACATGAACATCCTTCTCCTCCTGTTCCTCCTCCTCCTCCTCCTCCTACTCCTCCTCCTCCTCCTCCTCCTCCTCCTCCTCCTCCTCCTCCTCCTCCTTCTCCTCCTCCTCCTACTCCTCCTCCTCCTCCTCCTCCTTCTCCTCATCACCATCATTCTCAACATCATAATCAACATGAACATCCTTCTCCTCCTGTTCCTCCTCTTCCTCCTCCTCCTCCTCCTCCTCCTCCTCCTCCTCCTCCTCCTCCTCCTCCTTCTCCTCATCACCATCATTCTCAACATCATAATCAACATGAACATCCTTCTCCTTCTGTTCCTCCTCCTCCTCCTCCTACTCCTCCTCCTCCTCCTCCTCCTCCTCCTCCTCCTCCTGCTCCTCTTCCTCCTGCTCCTCTTCCTCCTGCTCCTCCTCCTCCTCCTCCTACTCCTCCTCCTCCTCCTCCTCCTTCTCCTCATCACCATCATTCTCAACATCATAATCAACATGAACATCCTTATCCTCATCCTCATTAACATCTTCAGTGTCATTAAAATCACCTCCTCTACCTCCTCTTCATCATCAGTGAAAGAGAATAAGACATGATGCATTTTGTATTCATACATATCCATCTACATCACAATTTTATTGCATTTTTGTCCAATTACTGTACAAATAAAACAATACTTCTAGTGGTGAATATATAATGTAACACTTACATATATTGAGGTATAAAGCTATGTCACAAGTAATATACACAACCAATAAATATGTACAGTTTTCATAATTATGTTGGTATATAAAAGTGCAAAACTGGATTACACACATTTACAATATTTAAACATCACTAAATCATAAACCAAGAACCAATTTCCCTGGATGTGCTCTGTACACACATGCTTGGAATATAGTTTTATTCAGCCACATGTACTGTTTGTGTAAATGAGGTCTCCCTGAAGTCAGTCCTAAGGAGTTTTAGAGGAATGAGATACAGTATGTAAGAAGTAGCAAATGGTAAAATCCACTGATTTGCTAGCACACTGATGTATGACTGCCAAAATAAATAACACTAAAAACAATTTTCTATCATACAGTGCTTTTAGGTATACCCAATATATTAGCTAAATATATTATTGCATGATTTATTTATTATTGAAAACTATCACAGAATTGTCTGGTGACTCATGTATTTTAGTTGAATTGTTTATTGTTTTACAGATAGAAGGGTGGTTACATGCATGCACTTCCCTACATCTTTCTTTTTATTATTGAGATATTATTTTTATCTGCTTGCTTTGAATGCAAATCCTCTGTTCTAAAATCTCTCAAAAAACCTATAAACCTTGATTTACTTTTCAAAATGCACTGTCAGTGATATTAAGCAAATCATACCTAGAGTTGAGAAAATTGTGTTAATATTTTTTACCCATGTCTGAATGCTGAATTACTCTTAATAAATGAGTCACAATTATTCCTCCTAATATGTTTGCTCTCTTCATCATTTAAATTCTATCTTGTTTTTTTAATCTATTATTTTGCATGTATGTGAATTATATTTTTCACCTCATTTGGAGTACATATACATCACCTATGATGTGTAAAATTCTGTTTGATATAAAATCAAAGTCGTCATCTTTCATTTGATTTTCGCTCTTTCCTTCATTGTATCTTCTTCTCTGTCTACAGATGGAGAATGGGGAGCTGTTTCTCGTAGAGGCAACAACGCATCAGACAGAGGAAACATGTTCTCTATGCATCAAGTCATCTCAATCAAGCTCCTCACTGACAAACAAGGTTATAGCCCTTTGCAAAGAGACCTTCCTTTAGAAGTTTCCTTTCACCATGCCAGAAACAGCAGTATTAATAAGAAGGGTTTATTTCCTCCTCAACACTTGCTATCGTGTATATGGTACATGCTTCAGCCAAAGATAATTGATATGCAGTATTTTTTTTGTCAGAGTGGGAATTACTATTATGCATCAAAAGAGGTATGCTTAATGATAAGATTTGAATTCAAACATTTTATATCTGGATATATTGTAAAGAGAATCAAAGATGGAATCTGACAGCGTTTCACAAAACAAAGTACAAGTTTGCTGACATCACACTGAAAAGTTTGTTATAAAATTAACAATGGGATGTAAGTGAAATTGTACTTCTGACTCATAGAAGATCATAGGAACCGTTTGTGTGGTTAATCTCACAACTAAGTTCACTGTAAAAGTATGAGATTATGAATTGTCTGTAAGGTTTCATCATGTACATGCGTAGATTGTAGAGGCACAAGATCTTTTTCTTCCGTTTTAGACTTGATAAAACAAATGCGTCTAAAGACATCCATCATCATCATAAGTTATATTTGAGCAATGTCTTAACTTCAACCTAGTCTCCCTTTTTTGCCAGTCTATCAGACGTGATAGTGAGTTGTGTTGAGGTATGATTTTGATCAATTTCAATTTGAGCTATGCAAATATTCTCTCCAGGTTACACATGGTATGCTTGGATTATGCTTACTTATATTACTGATGTACAATACTAGTTTGTTCTATTGACAACCGTGAATGATTAATCTACCACATATTATCTGGATCCAATTCTCTTTCCCTCCAGTTGCTTTACATACATATACACATGTATGTCACATTTTTGTGTAATTCCAGTACAAAAAGAACGATTCACAGATTATCTTGCCACTAAAATTAATAAGATATCCAACTGAACAACTGAAATACTCTTAACATTTGATTATAGAATTATAGACATCCATTAGCAATGTTTATGTATGTACAATAAATACTTATGTCAGCTGGCACAAATTTTAAAAATACCACAATCTAAACCTACGGTAAGTTGACAAGTCTATTACTAGAAGAATTATTGATCAATAACAGTAGAAAACAAAACATGTAAGGACCAGCAATAAATATGTATAGATTTCTTCAGCTTGTGCCACAAGTACTTGTTTCACTATTTTAAGCCAAAGAATTTCATATACTTTACTGACAAATCAATTATAGAATGGAAGATATTGATGAACAACACTGAGAGATAAAACTAACTTGATATACAAAGGAAACGATAAAAATGAATGAGTAAAAAGAAAAAGGATCATAGTACTAGAAAGACGCCAACTCCTGAATAACCACATGTAGAATCTTCACTGCTCCGAGTCGCAATTTATAATGCATTAACTTGCCAATCTCAGAGCCTTTCCCGATCTCTATAGCTGCAAAAGGGTCCATCTGGAATCTGTAAACCATGTTCATATTGCTACATGTACAGTGTATAATGATGAAAGGTTGTACATAGCTACTTGCCCTAGTACATTGAGAGTCTGCCTTGCAGTAAATTGACATTATTTTTTATTGGGGGTGGATTTGGACAGTATTTTAGACAATTTGTTGGGTCAGTGCAAAAAACGGGGGGGGGGGGGGGGGGGGGGGGGGGGGGAGTCCCAATTGCCTCCTAAGCTAGGGCAGAAACTTCTTTTGCAGTACTCTTTGGTTTGGTACATGAATTGAGTACTGATTTCATTTATATTGGTGTAACACCAACACAGATTACAAATGTAAACTTTTGCAAATATATTGTTTTCTTGCAACTTTATCACAATAATATAAATACCGGTAGGAAATATTTGTGTAGGGCCATGTCACACTAATTTATAGGGTGAAATGGCAAACTAATGGTGTATGCTGTGCAATTTAGTGATACATGTATCAGTTCATTATTTGAGGGGCAGTAAGTCTACATACTACATGCACTTTAAAAGACAATGAATAGATCAAATCGTTTGTTTGGAACCAGAAGGAAGCTAACATCGTTTACACAGAGTTAACACCCTTCTGGCTCCAAATAGATAGTACATTGTACTTGGAACTCTCTTTAATATAAAGCAGGTGTATCAAATTAATGCTGGTCAGCAAATAAGAATGATCTTAATCAGAGAAAACTACATCGCGTACATTCTTCGTTATCTTCATCTATCTATTGCTTTCTGAATCAGGTCAAACAATGAGCTATAAATTGGGCAAGTGCCAAAGTTCAGTGCAAGGCACACAGAAAAGTCTTTTTATTTTTTTGTCAAGCCAAGTTATTAAGTTATCCCATTACTTAAAGTGAAGCTTATTTGTTTCTAACAATATACCAAAGTATTTTTCAAATTCTACTATGTAAACCCACAATTACTTATCTTAACTTGAAAGTATTATCTGTTTAAATCTCTTTTGATTATATAATCTTAAATATATGGCAATATTAAAGTGAAAGCTAATGGATGAGAGGTCTTATTCTCAAAGGACTCAAACGCATTTAAGTGCAATTTTTTGAGAAATATGTACTTATTTCATTAATATAATTATCCCAGAGAAATGTACTTACTATATTAACTGCATGTCATTTTCGTTGTACTGATATAAAGTCATGAATTAAGTTCTAACAATCTTATCATCTCTTGTATTATTTTGTTATTAGTTTTGTATCACTATTGGCCTGGCTTCATCAACTTCTTTTTATTTGCTAAAATTCCTGTGTAAGAGGGCTTTGTTTGATATGAGGTGCTAGCATGAAGTGATGAAGAATGCGAAGAACGTCCATCGTGGTGGTCTGTCATGTGATCACGGCGTCTGTAAGTTTCTTCTCTTTCTTCTCACTACCTTGCATCCACCTGTATCAATCTGACATCTGTTTGTACATCGCAGAGAGCCTATCGTGTCATATCTGGAGGACATATGAAGAGAGATGGAGAGAGATGAAGAGAGAGAGAGAGAGAGAGATAAAGAGATAAAGAGATGGAGTGAGAGAGAGAGATAGAGAAGAGAATGTGTGAGTTAATGCAACTTCAGGTTTACAGGTTTGATTCATGGATTAAAAGGTAAATTAGCAGATTGAAAGATGATGGATTATTGACTGAGTTTGCCTTATAAAAGCTAGAAGTTTGAGTTTTGATTATTTTTTTTTAAACAAAACATCTAAAACATAGATGATTCAAGAGAGAGGGATATGTCGTCAAACAGATAAGATTTCAAACTTACTTTGGGAAGAAGTACTGGCATGTTTTTCCATCAAAGTCAGTTCCATCACACGCTTCAACACCGCGTTGACGATAGCCATCACCACAGTAGGATCGTCTACAATCTAGAGAATGAAAGAGAGAAAACATGATGTGAGTAAAAGAGAAAGAAAGAGAGAGAGAGAGAGAGGGGTGGAGGAGGGGAAGACATACAGACATATAGACGAAGAGAGAGACGGGGGTGGAGGGGAGAAAGGAATACAGACATATAGACAGAGACAGACAGACACTAGGAAAGAGGAAACCATGATTCTTTTAATGAAAGATTTATCAAGTTATTATTTATCAAGCAATTACGGAAGAGTGTTTTTATAAAAGTAGGTCCTATGACCTAAAATGGGAAGCTCTTCACTCACGTTCATAATGATAAAAATTTGTCATGGAGAAGGGGTGGTTTCTTACCAATGCAACCATCGTGGATGTCTTCATTCCCATCATCACATTGTTCACCCGGTTCCATAACTCCATTGCCGCATTCAACCTCCTGAATCATTCAACAAGATGGGACAGTTAGAAATGTAAATATGTATGTCAATTCTGAATTCATGTCTTGTATCTTTGTATGAAAATCAGTGTGTTAGTTGAGCTCCACACGCCTATTGAGCGAAACCAACGAAATATAAAGTTACACCCATTCAACAATTGGATTCATCATCAAAGCCGGGAGTGGATGAGTATCCAAAACCCGGTCTTGTAGAATCACAGATGAAAAGTGATTCTTCTCTTCTTTTTTTCCCTCCTATCCTCAAGCGAGGTTTTTATTTCCGTAATTTCAATACATATTTACATTAATTACTCAATGATTGAGTGAAACATACCATAGGCTAAAAAGTGTATCTTCTCTTTGAATTAAGTAACTCGGTGGAATATGAATAAGTACCGTTATTCATGATAGATCAGTGGTTTACTTCTCCAACTTTCAGTACAACAAACCAAACGTCAACATATTAAAGCCCCACTTAACTACTTGTAGCTACTTGCTCCCTCTACATAAAAAAAACAATGCCTAAGCGTGCCCGTTGGTCCCCCATGTTCCTCTTTTTCTTATGTTAAGTGAAAACTGATTTGATGAGATAACCACCTGTCAGTGACCTTGCACGGTGGTCTAATCCCTCCTATAAACTAGTACAGATGGGCTTTAAGTTCTATACACTTCATTTCATTTTTCAATTCATTTCATTTATTGACCATTAAAAAACACCAAAATATACAAAAACATCAATACACTAGAAGAAGAATATCAAAGAACTAAAACATACAAAATTAATAATGGCCCAGGGGTGTTTCACAAAGATCCTAAGTCGAACTTTACTCTAAGTTGGACTTAAACATTATGGAGAGTCATTTGTACCCTCAAAATAAAATATATTCAAAAGCAAAAATTCAAATATTTTTAGACTTTTCATAAATTCCACATCAAGAACAGGAAATCTCTTTGATAATAGATAATATGACGGATTTGAATCAACATTTAATGCTTTTTCAAAGATGCTAACGGCTTTCCATAACTGTTAAGTCCAACTTAGAGATAAGTTCAACTTAGGATCTTTGTAAACAACCCCTCCTAATAAGTAAGACTTACCTGTCCCGGGATGATGAGGTCAGTGTCGGAGCCAGTATCACCTTTATCACCCTTCTCCCCTATCGGTCCCTGAGGGCCTGGCATCCCCTGACGGCCTGGAGGTCCACGCATTGTCTTTACTTCCTGCAGGAGATCGGAGGATGCCATCAGACAGTTCCAGTTGGTGTTATCCCGGAAGTAGAGCTTCCTGTCGTCCAGGCGGTAGGCGAGGGCCGCTTCCTCGCTGATGCTGTTCATTGCTAGTTCGTCAGCCACGATCAAGATACGCTAAGTGGGATGAAAAGAAGAGGATGGAAATACATTGCATGATGATCACTTGTTTCTTCAGATTCTGGAATTGGCAGCAGCGGTGATGGTGGTGATGACGACAATGATGATTATCATTATCATCATTATGATGATCTCCATGCATCGTCACAACCATATTATTATAATGCATCATCATCATCATCATCATCATCATCATCATCATCATTATCATCATCTTTAACATCATTACAATCATAGTGACCTCAATCTTCTTTTTCATCATTATCATTACAATCATAATAATAAAGAAAAGAACTATGATGAACATGCTGTTGCAAAATATGACGATAACGATCATAGGAGGAGGAGGAGGCAGATGATGAAGGTCGTGTTTATATTCTAGAAATGATAAGTGATATAAAGGAACAGCCGATACTTACTCCTTGAGTGATAAAATCTCCTTGATCCCCTTTCGGTCCTGGTGGTCCAGGGGTTCCAGTCAAGCCCCGCTTCCCGACACTGCCCTGTATTCCTGGTGGGCCTCGGGGACCCATGAGACCAGGTTCGCCTTTCTGACCTAAATACATACATTTGTAAAATGCAGGAATTATATGGTAAATCGGTTCATGCATTTTAAAATGATACTTTAGGTATTTGTATGGGCATTTCATCTCTAGCACACAAGTATACCTCTTTGTACGCTGCCTTCGTTTTGAAATGTTATAGGACGACAACAATTCGACCATTTGCATTTCTATTGTAAACATTTCAATAAAGGAGGTGCATTAAGAAGAAGAAAAAATCTTGGATGTGAAGATGACATTGGAGTTCTTACCTATACCTGTCGAACCTCTAGGTCCCTGTGGTCCCTGAATACCCATCATTCCCTTGGGCCCCTGTGGCCCTTGGTCACCATCAGATCCAGTGCGTCCCTGAAATGATCGCAAACAACAACAAGATTGCAAATAGTTTCAGGGTAATTTTAGTACCCTATGGTATTGTTTATAGAAATTGTGTCCAGATGATATAGCATGTCCCTGTCATGTTCACAAATTTCAATAGGTGATGCAGAAGGTTATTAAATTAACCTTTAAATTCCCGAAATTCTTGAAAGCCCGAGTGATTCTGTTAAAAGTGTATCATCAGTTAAGTTTAGTTTAATGAGCAATATACACTATGATAAAGTTGATCGAGCCTGTAAAACTTCAGGGTATCAATTCATTGAATGGGGGAGGTGTATGGTTACCCCTCCCACTCCCACTCCAAAAAGGGGGTATATCACATTACTAAAAAAAAACTTTTGCATTTTCTCCTTTAAAAACTGCATTTTTGATTATTATGAACCTATGCATGTTTATCATTCTCATTTCTTGTCCAATGTGCAATCGGCTTATCTGATATCTTGCCTTGAGGGATGATCTTGGGGTAAATGTTAGAGGGGCAAATGTTAGAGGGTATAGTTCCTTACCTTTCTGCCTGGACTTCCTATCGCTCCTTTTGGTCCTCTGGGTCCTGACAATCCGACCACACCCGGTAATCCTATTGAACCCTTTGGAGAATAGAGCAGAAATAAAGGATTTAGTGAATGGTTAGTACAATCTACTTCAACCATCTCCAACAGGCCATCTCTGACTCAAGAGATTATATTACATGCTATCACTGCTGAACTTCAAAATATTTTATGCCTTCTATACTGAAACTAATGTATCTACTATTGATACTTCTAATTCTACTACTACTACTACTACTACTACTACTACTACTACTACTACTACTACTACTACTACTACTACTACTACTGTTACTACAACTGCTGCTGCTGCTACTGCTGCTGCTGCTGCTACTACTACTACTACTACTACTACTACTACTACTTCTACTACTTCTACTACTACTAATGTTGCTACTACTACTAATAATAATGTTGCTTCTACTACTACTACTACTTCTACTTTTACTGTTGTTGCTACTATTACTACTACTGCTACTACTACTACTACTACTACTACTACTACTACTACTTCGAACACTACTACTACTACTTCTAACACTACTACTGTCGCTACTACTACTACTACTACTACTACTACTTCGAACACTACTACTACTACTTCTAACACTACTACTGTCGCTACTACTACTACTACTACTACTACTACTACTACTACTACTTCTACTACTACTACTACAACTACTACTACTACTACTACTTCTACTACTTCTACTGTCGCTACTACTACTACTACTACTACTACTACTACTACTACTACTACTGCTACTACTACTACTACTTCTACTACTACTGTTGCTGCTGCTGCTGCTACTACTACTACTACTGCTGCTACTACTACTACTACTGCTGCTACTACTACTATTACAACTGCTGCTACTACTGCTACTTCTACTAACACTACTAATATTACTTCTACTGAGGCTGCTGAAAAATCATTCGCTTCTAATGATACATCTTTAGTGCTTAATACTACCCATCCCCTGCTTTATTTTACTTCTACTGACATAGAAATATTAGACTGTTGTTGGTATAGTAATCAGGAATACTCCTGATACCAAATTATTACCTCTGGTCCTTGTGGTCCCTGTGCACCAGGTATTCCATCTGCTCCATCTAGACCTGGTTCCCCAAGTGCACCCTATCATCAATCAAACAAACAAAATAATCTACATTATCTAGCTGACACTATGTTCTGTAAAGCAAGATGAAACTGAACATTTTTTTTATTCAAAAAGGACTACCACATTTCTAGGTCCCTTTTGGATCTCAAATTTTGAAAAGGGGGTTAAAACCACAATGGTTGGTATCATTAATTTGTACTTGAGGTACTTTTAATATCATAACATCTTTCATGCATTTGACCCGATTCCCATAACCACGATAATAATAACAAAATATTTTTACACGAATCGTATCACGATATTGATAAATGTGAGTGAAATGTACAAAGGCTCATATACATCATTAACTATGATCATAGATAACGACTTAAGAAAATACACTCGTTATGCAGATTAGCGGTTCAACAATTATTACGACTGATATTCAATACATTACCTTTGGTCCTCTATCGCCTGTATCTCCTTGTCGCCCTCGTTTTCCCTGTGGGCCAGGCTCACCTTGCATGCCCTAGAAAATACAAATATAATTTACAAAAACATTAGAGAGACAGGAGTACAATAAACAAAGTATATAGTTGTAAAATCATGTCACAGGCGTACTTTTAGATGGTCAGCCTCCAAATATCTGTTTCTTCGTTTGTTGTTATCAGATTTTATCTGATATTTAATTATATTTTACCATCGCTGAGTCCTTGAGGTAATTTTTTGAGATATCAGATTATCATGCCCGAGTTTTGATTTGTATGTGCTTAATGTGTTCTGCTTGTGAATTAGTTTTAAGCACAAATTTAAGTTTTATCAAAAATAAATAGTCGTTCATCTCTAAATAACCAAAACAGAAATGGCATTGTAATTTCTCTCAAGACCCTTCACATTGGTTTTTAATCTTTTTCTCCATTATCACCTTTTCTTAAACTATTATATTTCTTCGCTACAAACTCCCATTTCCCCTTCCACTTCTTAAACTCTTCCTCTCCTTTTTCTACTTTCTACAAAAAAAAATTCTGCGGTCTTGTTTCGGCATGCCATTGTGATGCTAACCAGAGAATGATAGTTTGTGATTGCTTATAATATAGGATTCGAAACTAGAATTTATGACTTTTTTAGTGCTGTCGTTACTACGACGTTTAACTATTCCAATGATAAAGAAGAAGAAAAAAAATATAAAAAAATAAAAGAGAAGAACTAGAGAGGCTTTGTAAAAAGCGTTTTTTAATCAAACAAATGGACATCTCGGGTTTTTATAGTTTGAAAGTTTATTATTCATTCATGAAATAAAATTTCTATTTCCTAAAATATTCCCAATCGTTATTCATGCGATACAGTTGCCCTTAGCAATTGGTGACAAGATTATAAACACTCGTCAACTTTGTTGATGCCAAAATCCTTTCATCTTGGACACACTATTACCACTTTCAAGTATGAGGACGATGTCAAAGTTAGCGTAGCTATATACTCGGCAAATCTTTGACGCTATTCATGTATGGCTGCTGTCAAAAAGAAGCATGATGTGATATAACGCAAATTACAACTATCATTAAAAGTTCGAAACGCCTTGAAGAATGTCGCTATATCATTTTCAATCCAAAACCTCTGTTCACACGATCAAAAATTCTTTTCAAAAAAGAATATCGGCGAATAAGATAAAAAAAAAAAAAAAAAAAACGCACGCGCTTTCTCCCTCTCTCTTTCTCTCTCTCCCTCTCTCTCTCTCTCTCTCGCTCTCTCTCTCTCTCACTCTCTCTCTCTCTCATTCTCTCTCTCTCTCGCTCGCTCGCTCTCTCTCTCTCTCTCTCTCTCTCTCTCTCTCTCTTGCTTCTGTATTGTGTTAAAGTAATGAATAATCGCAACAACCAAATACAGTCAGTTTTACCAGTTTTTCACTTGATTTAGGCAGTTCATTTGTTGATCTATAAATACAGTTTAAGATTTCCTTGGCTTTTCAATCACAAGGTGGCTTTCATAAAAGCACATATGATTTCGGCAAAATTTAGGTCTAAAACGATTCAATATTAGGGAGGAAGCATGATAATCTTTGCCATTAATATATAAAATTGCTTTAAAATACAACTAGCACGCACATACCAGCAGAACTCAAAATTATCACGAATGCTTTATACATACCACGCATGACATAGTACACACACCATCGTCCGTGGTCGTCGGCGTGGGCACGGTCGTCGGTCTCGACGTGCCACTCGGATCAATAGGAGGTGGTGGTGGAGGCGGTGGGGTTGGAGGTGTGAAAGTAGTTGGAATGACCTGGTAGATCGCAAAGAAAAACGACAACAAATTTTGATGCTTTACTGTTTCATGGCGCTTCATAACAAAATTCTGAAATTTATTTTTGATCAGGATTAAACCCTCTCCTAAATGACAAATCATGATCACTAGTTCATCGCTGAAACATGCGGGAATTATCTAAAGAACAGTAATGAAACGCAACAAGAGACCATGTAAACAGATAGAAAGAGAGCAATATATGGGATGGTAAGCATATGAAGGTACCAAGAGGAAAGAGCAGGAGAAATTTGGGTAAATAATGAAGTTTCCTAAGCCCGCCGAAAAAGAACAAAAATCATAAAACAAGAAGAAATACAAAGTATACATACAACATGAAATATAATCAGAGGAAGAAAAACATGAGAAGGCGACAAACCAAAACAAAAACTTACTGTGCCATTATGATTATGAAGACCAAAACCAAGGCCCCCCGATGGGGGAGGGGGTGGTATAATCGGTGGGGGTGGTAATCTCATTATCAAGATGCTTGACCCGGTAGGAGATGCAGCGGTGATACCTTCTCCCTCACCTGCTGGGGAAGGTGTCGGTTTGGGGTTGGGTCTTGATTTTGGTCCTAAACATGTAAGAAAATGAGAGAGAAAATAGTGACTATAAATTTTTAATGTCTATTGTATTATTTCATTTCACTGATGATACTACTCCTGCCACTACTATTACTACTACTTATACGACGACGACAACGATGACGATGACGGCGATGACACGAAGGAATAATATGCATCCTTTAGTCTAGTGCAGTCTAAAAACTTCATGAGCCTCCCACACTATAGACATAAAGGGCACAACAGTTTGGAACCCCTAATTCGACACAAATTTGCTGGCAAAATTTCACTTAAATTCTATCATAATGTGAAAGAGAATGCCATTTATTTAAAGACACACTCCTGTAAAAATTTACCCCAAAATATTGCATTTGAAGACAAATGTTGATAAAAGAATACATGATTTGGGTTTTTCTGGTGTACGCCGAAAACCTCAATTTTGTATTATTTCATCAATATTCGACTTACAGAAAATGTGTTTTAAAATGATATCCTCTTTCACATTATGATACAATTTAAGTGAAATTTTGTCATCAAATGTTTAGGGCTCCCAGCACTTTAGAGGGGCTTTAACATAATACATATTTTTGAAAATATTTTGTCCCAAATAAAATTTCATAAAATGTCGATTTAGTACCGTACCTTGATGAAAAAGAAACATACATTTTTAAGATTCGATAACTACAGAATTAGGGAAATTAAAATTTAAAGATTTAGTCAAATATTTCACACATTTTGTTTGAAAATATCGAAAATATTAGTGCGAGTGATTCGGGGAAAATGTTTATGAGAAAATTTTAGGATGGTAAAAAGTATTCCTTACAAACCACCTTCTTACCAACACTCAGCAACGATATGGGGCGGGGTATCCCTTATAATTTTCCAAACAAGTCCCCCCCCCCCTTGTCTGCTTGTCAGATATTTTGATACACATTCTACGATAATCTTTGGCCCCACCCGTATGTTCTTACCTCCACATTGCGGGCAGCATTTTCCTGGTCTGATGACGGGATTCTCACATGACACCGGTTTACATGAACTTCTCGATTTGACTTTACATCGAACGTTTCCTTCCTGATACAAAATACAATCAAATTATCCATTAAAACACCGGAACAGGCACATCTCTCCAGAAACTTGAAGCAATACTTTCTATTGTGAATATATATTTTCAACCATCATGATTATCTACAACATGAATGAGGTCTGGTGTTTTTTCCTCTGTTTTAATTTTTTCTAGAAAGTGAATGAATTAAAAAAACAGACCTATTTAAACTTGACCTTCTAAAATGATTTAAATCATATGCAACGCCTAATATTAAATACGACAAAAAATATTGAGTTTCCGGAAGAAAAAAATTACCTGTAGATTATTTTATAACCCGTACCAACCATAATACCCTTATGCCTTTTGTGACGTAATTGTAATAAAATAGCAGGTACTCACCTCACAGACGCATCTCGTGCAGGGGTCGAGGTCTAATTTGAATCTATCGCCCTCTTGGTAATATTGTCCATCATACTCGCATTGACCTGTTAACAAATATTACAAAGCAACTGCTAAGTCATTTAATAAATTCATGCATGCGTTTTACACTTTTTACATTAATATGTACTGCGCCTAAAAAAACAAAGTTCTAGGCGAATTATAAATGAGAGCTTTTATTATTATTATTACACTTGCCGATCCGAAAGTAAGTTTTCTTGATATGGGATATGTAATATTTTGGGGACATCGTCAAAACTTGTAGGCATGCAGTTCATCAGTCTGTATTATTGTTTTCAATCATACTCATATAGATCTCTTTTGCTTTTACATAGTTATATTTCATAAAGACGTGCCAATTCAACAGTCTTCATAGATACATTGTTTATGTGAGATAATCAAAATTTGTATTCTATTTTAATAAGTGTGATTTGATTTGATTTGGCTTATAAATGAAACCGATGACCGATGACCGATTACCGGGGTAAAATTCAGTGTAGAGCCCTTTGAAATGTAGGGACGTCAGTTTGCAAAGAACCCTCTTCACATTGATTTTGTAATCATTAATATAAATAACACACTTCACAACAAAAATAATAAATCTGTAGATCTCTTACCCGGCGATAATGTGTTTTCTATTTGAGATCGGCTGACCGATATACCGAACACAGCTATCGAGAAAACTTGAAGCAGAATTCTCGCCCTTCCTTCCATTGCCAAGACATTGATAAACCTAAAGATGAGAACCATAAAAAGAGATGAGAGAAAGAAAAGAATATATCAGTCATGTATGAGCAAAGATATGATTGTACTAATAAATCGAATACCACTATTATAGAGAGACATACTAAACCACTCAGTTCATTCCTGCTGTTAACCTCGAATGATGAGTACAACACGAAAAGCTTCAGTATGTCAAATTATACGTTGAAATATTAACAGCAGAAACTACACAAGGAATTAATTCTCGAGAATATAAAGTGCATACATACGGGATGTGGACAATCAATTCTTCAAAGCTAAATATTTGAATAAATACAACCGTTCTTGTATTGGATTTAAACATTCTAGCATAACATGTAACGTAATTTTGTGAAAACATCAACATTTAAACATAAAAAATAATAAGGAATTAAACATCATAATTATTTGCCGTCGATCGCGCGTATGATTTCATAAAAAAATTCCATACCTAGTCAAACTTTTTATGCAAAATGGTATTGAATATGTTGTGAGATGCAACAACTACTTTGCATGATCTGTTTTGATCTATGGAGAAGAAGAATTTAAGCCTATTAGAATTAGTTTGCCCTCTCTCTGTCTCTCTCTGTCTGTGTGTGTGTGTGTGTGTGTGTGTGTGTCTCTCTCTCTCTCTCTCTCTCTCTCTCTCTCTCTCTCTCTCTCCAATCACATGATGCAATGAGAGCCATGATCAGGGTTCTTCGATGATAAGACAGGCCAAGAGATGAGAGAATAGAATAACGGAAGAAGGCTACCCATGACCTGGATGGGTTACGAGTCCATGGGATACAAGTGCAGTATTGCTATCATTCTAACAGCCCTACATCTTTCTTATAAACTCACCCCTCACCGATCATGCTCTCTCTCTCTCTCTCTCTCTCTCTCTCTCTCTCTCTCTCTCTCTTTCCCTTCTCTTTTTCTTTATTTCCTCCTGTCTCCTGTCTCTTCTTCTCCGTCTTCTTCTTCTTCTCCTTCTCCTTCTTCTTCGTCTTCTCCTTCTTTTTCTTCTTCTTCTTCTTCTTCTTCTTCTTCTTCTTCTTCTTCTTCTTCTTCTTCTTCTTCTTGTTCTTCTTCTTCTTCTTATTATTATTCTCCTCCTCCTCCTTCTTCTACTTTACTTCTCCTATCCACTCCCTTTGCCATGTTTGCCGTTACGTATATTTTTGTCTTCCTCGATTTTTGTTGTTGTTCTCTCTCTCTCTCTCTCTCTCTCTCTCTCTCTCTCTCTCTTCTATCCTACTCTCCCTCCCTCCCTCTGTGTTAAGTAATCATATCAGTGGTTTGTAATTATTAATATATTTGTTGAAATTAAATGCTTATCGAAAGATATTATATTAGAGCTCGCCTTAGCTCAACCCGTGGGGAAATACGTTTGACATGCTATTAGAAGAAGAAAACATACCAATATAATTTTCATTTTAAATATTTTAACCACAGATAATTGTTTCTATTTCGTAACTATAGTACCATTTCGGAATTTAGAAGTGCATTCACATAACGTACATGATTAAGCTCTTGGTAACATGAAAATGCTGTGAGCCTAATTTTGGGCACATGACCCTAGACAAAATCAGTAACAGGAGTAATTACATGTTGTGGTTGTTTTAGCACTTCGATTATTTCAAACTGCAGCATCAATTCCTATATATCATGCTCTATGTTCATTAACCTACCTACGTAATTAATAATGAACAAGCAGAGCACTTTGTAGGATTAGGGGCGGATTCCGAACACTAAGCAGTGTTTAGAAAGGGGGATAAGTGGGTAGCGCCACCGACTTGATTGTAATATGATGTAAAGAAATGCCAGCAATATAATATAACGTGAAAGGTAGACCGGGGGTAATACTTGAAGGAGGGGGGAAGGGGTTGATTGGACCCCTCCCATACCCCCCCCCCCACCAATATTTGCCAGAATGTGGAGATGTTGTTCATTCACTTGACCCGCAATCAAAGGGTTGAGGATTAAAATCTAATAATGTTCCTTGGGAAAGCATGAGACCCCGTTACTTTGAATTATTATTATTATTATTGTTATTATTATTATTATTATTATTATCATCATGTTCTGGCTGTAGTCGAGAGCAGAGTAATCATGGAGAATAATATTGCTAATCCATTTTCATAGGGATTATTTTATAGGGGGGGGGGGGTAGAAACATTTCTGTTACTGCCCCTCCCATTTTAAGTGAAGTTTTCCAGACGACGTTGGATCCTACATCTTTTACATATTTCCAGTCGTTTTTAGGGAGATGTTAAATTCGATGTTGTTCTTTTAAAATCTCAACACACAATTAACTTTTCGCACGTCTCTAAATAAGTGAATAGCATGGGATGATGGGGGAGAGGGGTACCTAAGCCCCCCCCCCCCCCCTAGGGCCACCCAGGGATACGCCCTGTCGATGCGAGCGATAGATTTCAAGTATCCGCCACGTGGGCTTGAGGCCAATTAGCTGAGGAGTGTGGAGAGAAATATCGACCGGTGTAAATTGAATCAAGAAATCAATATCTGCAGGATGCAGTCTCTCCACAAACCCAGCAGTCGTGGCAGCTATCTATCTCACTATCTCCAATTCTAGACGCTGCGTTTTCTTGCACGCGACTCTGCCATATATTAGCTATCTCTCTCTCTATCTCCCCCTGTCCCCCATTTATTTAAATTCAGTTTGATTCGTTCATTCGTTTCACTACTATTAAAAAACCACACACATTCATATTACCTCCCTAAATCCCTTTCCACCCCCATCTCTCTTTATCTCGCTCTCTCTCTCTCTCTCTCAGTCACTCTCTCTCTCCCTGTGTCTCTCCCCTTCCGTCCTTCCTACCCCCATCTCTCCCTCATCTATTTCCCCTTCTCCCCTTCCCCTTTTCTACTTCCCATCCCTTCTTTCTCACGCCCTCTCGCGCGCTCTTTCTCTCTCTCTCTCTTTCTATTTATTTCTCTCCCACTTACTTCTTTCATTTCCATCTCTCTCTATCTCCCCCTCTCTCTCACTCCCTTTCTCTCGCTCATCAAGTTTATGCTCAACCCACCACCTAACCAATCATGCCGATACAACTGATCTCTTGACTTGTAGTTGGCTGCAAACATGCAGAGATAGATTGGTATGAAATCAAGAATACCGGACCCAACTTATAGAGTTGATTCGCGGGTGAGTGATGATGAAGATAATGATGCTGGTGGTGATCAAGATCATGATTATCATCATCATCATCATCATCAATATTACGATGATTATGATGAGAAGGAGGAGAGGGTAGGTGGAGGAGGAGAAGAAGGGGTGGACTATGATGCAAACTTATAAAAGATATGCCCAGCAAGCATTCTGAGTCTATGGGAAGTTCGAAGTTATGCAATTACACAAACCAATGGGCTACACATACATCAATGAAGAATCCATTACAATATCATCGCTTTATGTTTGTTCAAAGTGTCGCAATGAAATAAAGTGTAAACCATTTACCACCAAAACGTTAGTTAACACAACATGATTGACACACATCTTTCATTCTTAACTCTGCATGTACAATAGACATCCCTCAATGCACTGTTGAATGATATAAGGTCCTTAATGTTTACGTAACTGAATCTCCACTGTATTAGTCAATATGTCATCGATCTTAAGTACAGTTCATTAAAATTCATAACGACATTGTCGAATGCGCCCCCGGCTCTGCGCGGGACATATCAACTTTGACAATTTATTTATTGATGGGGTACTTAAATGTACATCTCCAATGATGTCACTGGGAGTCATTTTGCGTGTTTAAACTTTGCGCCAAAGGGAACTTTCACACTAAAAATTTAGCTGCAAATGAATGCCGTATTACTATCGTGCACATCCATATTCTGCGAATGTACTCTGAAAACCTGAGCAGCTTTGCTCCTAATCTTTAGTTTAAACAAGTTCTATTTTATTCATAATTTTAAATGTACATCAAGGTATTTCTCCATACATTAAGTCTGACGTAGCATTTACCTATATCACCATGTCTAAATAATAACCATTGTGTATGTAACTTTATTAAATTTATCATATTTTATTTTTCAATTTACAGTTCATCTTGTATAATAATGAGAAGAAACCATGATGCCGTCAACAACAGCATGAATTCATTTTCAAGTCAAAAATCATAAGTAGGCCTACTTTTGTTATAAAAGATTCATTGAAAGTGGTGAAAATAGTCCGCTTGATACTGCAGGTTACCGATGTTTTTATTAAAATCATCTGTCTCATTTTCACAATTGTTCTGGGTCATTTTAACACCGATGCCTTCATTCTTAGTGAAACTATCAAATCAAGACGTTGTATCGATTAGATTGCATCTAACAGTATCATTTACTTTTCATTTTTCATCAACATCTTTATAATCACATGGTAATTTTAACGAAATTCATGTGAAAAATATAAAAGATCACTATATTACTTCAAATTCTTCCGACCATCGACGATCTCTTGCTGGTAGCATTTTGATTAAATAAATTAAACAAGTTCGGCCCTTTAAGGCATGCCCTGAATTTCTGGCTGTGCTGTGCATTAGGCTGAGCTAGTGTGTGCATGTCGGGTAGCCAATTAACTAGATTGATTTTCGCGACTCCAACTTACGGAAAAACTGGACTTGTTATTTGCCCCCGCGGTAATGTCTTCCCGCGAAATGGATTGATAACAAATACATTTAGATTATGGGTATGAGTAGAATTGCAGGGACTATCAAAACCTAGATCAATATAGCTCAGAATCTAAATGAAACTATGAACCCTTTTAAAAATGGCAAACTTATATTGCAAATCATGTACCACACTTTTTATTTTTATCACATCATTGGATATTGGTTTTAATTTATAATGGTTACTAAAGCATAACTACGGATCCTCCCTTTGCAATGGAAAAGACTCGATAGACAGCTTTTTGAAAGAAAAGAACATCACAATGACAGTGAAATATTAATCGGAGATAGACACCCCCTCCCCCCCCCCCCCAAAAAAAAAAGAAGGAAAGACACTTGGAC